GTCTCTAAATGCTAGATGCTGCCTGTTTATTTCAAAGAAGTTCATTAATGAATCAATTATTTATAATTAGCTATATAGGATGACTAATGCCATATGTAACAGTATTTAATGAACCCCCTTGGTAATTGCAACAGAGATAATAAGAAAAAAGACAGCACAGGAACTCACAAATCAGGAAAGACCTCAAGGCTCATGAAGGGTAAAATTTCTACTCTAGTGCAGCCTACTGAATGAACAGCATGTAAAAATCCTGCAAACACCAAAAAGCAGTAAAATCTCTAGGCTTTTTTATGTGCTACCAGGTTTGGAAACTTAGGTTCCTTTTTAGATGAGCTTGGCAAAAGCATGCAGGCAAAATGCTATCCTAGCAAACACAAAGAGCAGGCTGGAAGAGAAGGGAGATCTTATATGTTGTTTATTTTTTCTACTTAAAAAGTGCACTGTTGTAATTGTCTTTTTACTTTATTTGCTATACATTGCACATTTTGGGCTTTTTCCCCCCTATATTTAGTCTACGTACACATCTTGCAACTCTTTGTACCTGTTCTGGTTTTGTTACTCTAGCAAGTATCAACTTATTTGTATTGAAATTCAAGTAAAACTTTTTAGGTACCTGTGATGTTTCTGCTGTTAAGTGTTTATACAAATGCTTTGAAAAAATATCTGCTCAAATACTGTGATATTGATCATTGATAAAGACCTTGTAGCTTATAAAGCTGTAGTAAAACTGGCTTACGCCTCTAAAAGTACTTGCATGGCTTTTAATCCAGTCAAGGATGAAATGCTGTTATTTGTATATTTACATTATTACTGCTACCACAAATGAAATGGTTGTGAGATGTTACTACCTGTGGGATGAGCTTAGTGGAGTAGTTTGGCCTATGTTGTGTACAGCAGAGAAGTTTGTGCAAACATCATTATTATTTTAAGTTTAATGTAAATTGTCTTTCAAATATCTTGTTTCATACAGTGACAAGCTAAAAGGAGCTGCTGGGAGCATTGGAAGGACAGGATTCTTCTCACCCTGTCTGAGACATTTACAATGGAGATTTCTAGAATTTAATGTAGATCACCCCGGGATCTTTTTCATAATTGAAAAGGAATTGGTGACTTTGGGGCGTGCTTGATCTTAGCTGCTTTTAAACATCTGCTTTAGCAATAGTGGAATCATGTCCTAGGATACCCAGACTCTTTTGATTTTACCTGTACTGATGGTAGGGATAGCTCTGCCTGTACACTGTGGGCATCCAGGATGCTGTGAGCTGAGCCAGAAGGTGGTGAAGTCCCTGGGAGCCAGTGCTGCACATGCACAGGCCTGGGTAGCTGCCATCATGCTGGCTCTGGGGTGTAAGTGGAATTAACTGTGTTTCCAAGCCTAAGAGGGGACTCTGAGGCATGTTTAATGCCATGGGGAAAACTGACATCTTGAAATGGAGCGCTCCATTTTATCAAAAGGCATGCCATGAGGAGGCAATTTCTTTCTTCAGTATCTCAAAGGAAGGAGAATTTTCTCCAAGTATTGGGAGTTCAGGCAGATGCTCTGTGCATCCTGATAACAATAACCTGTGCTAACATGTGTGGTAAGCTCTTCTGCAGTGGGAGGACTCTCTCCCCTTTCAAAACCATGACAATAAACTGGCCATGAGGAGGCAATTTCTTTCTTCAGTATCTCAAAGGAAGGAGAATTTTCTCCAAGTATTGGGAGTTCAGGCAGATGCTCTGTGCATCCTGATAACAAGAACCTGTGCTAGCATGTGTGGTAAGCTCTTCTGCAGCTCTTCTGACTCTCTCCCCTTTTAAAACCATGACAATAAACTAGGCCAAACAAATAAAAATTGGTCTAAGATCTAAGATTATGCATCTCCCTTGAACAGGGGAGCCCCAGGCTACTGCCCTGCTATGATAATTATTTCTACACTTACTCAGTGTTCAGTGTGTTTGTTCCTATGTGTTCCTTCTCCCACACAGGGGATTTAATTGCTTCAGTACAAAATGTGCTCCTTAGTGATTCCTCTGACCAGTGCATTCTCCCAGGCTGGAGATTAGGTTGTGCATAAGCCTTGGGCTGTCATTCTGCACCACAGAGAATGTTAAAAGTAAATCTCTTTTACTGTTTGCCTTTATCTCTCTTGGTGTGGCATGCCTTTTGGCACTCAGAATGGCACTTATTAGAAATTTGCTCCCAGGAGTGAACAGTGTTAACTCCACGGTTACTGCCAAGCAGAGTGATAAGTACATTTGCCTCCTTGCTTGCTACGAGCTTGCTGGCATCTAAGAAAGGTGGTTACACACCCTTGGTGTTCAGTTTGTGCTAAAATTGTAAATAGCCAGTCTGCAGGTTGGTAAGCTGTCTGGGGGGCTCAGGCATGACAATAATATATTCAGGATGAAAGTCTATAACTGAGCTCTGGCAACATTCTTTGAAGGAAATTTAATACATCGTCTTTGTTGTATGTAAGATCTATTTTGTTAAAAATAGAGCAAAGTTATAATAGGATTTGATCACCCTGACTGGAGCCTTGTAAAAGAGGGGCCAGGCACTAAACCATTGATGCTCAAATCAGGAGAAAAGCTAGTTAGCTTCCCTGACATTAAGGGAATGAATTTTTAGAAAGCCATTCATTGATATCTGACAAACAGCTTGAAAGGGATGCCAAACCCTCAGGGTTTCTGTCAGTAGCCTTAAAATGCATTTGCATATTTTTTGCATGGAAATGGGAGCTCTCTCTCTGTTGCCAAACTGCAGAACTAAAAGGATGCAAAAACTCTATCTAGTCCAAGGGGCTCTGAGGGGTAACTTCATAATCAGAATTCAAATGCGTGCAACAGATTAGGAAAATGACTTCAAATGGGATTTCAGCCATATCTAAAAGAGACATAGAAATCCTGAACAGATTGGTAGGCAAAACATTACCTGCTCTGCCATTAAAATGCTTGTTGGTTGTTTTTTTTTTCCCTCTGGGCATTTCTCATGTAAAAAATAGCTCACTGATATCAGCTGATCACACAGATTAGTGTTGTTTAAGGTGCTACTGCTTACTTTTCCTGATAGCAAATGCAATTTTTTTTCTAACAGTTTTGATTTTCTCCAATTGATAGCAAAACCATTATGGATAGGATGAGAGTGATAGAGGAATAAAGAAATGGTGGTCCTCCACATGCAGCCAGTGTATCCAGTGGTCCCATTGGTTGGCAGCTGTCCTTTGTATCTATGCCATTTACTGGCAGCTGTTGTGGATGGAACCAGAGTCCCCTGGCCTTGAAAGGGTGCCTTGCCAGCATGGGCAGCTCTGCTGAAGTGCAGAATCTGCGACAGTGTGAGCTGCAGTTTGAGCTGCTCTTATATCTGCCCTTTTCATTAAATGGTTTCCTTGTCTGATTCCAAATGTGATTTTATTCTTTCCTTTAAGGAAAATGCTTGCAAAGACAACAAAGCATTTGGGGCCAAGATTGTGCTTAATGTGCAGGTGGTGTTTTGTTGGCAATATCCTCCATGTCCCATGCTAACTATCAGGCTTTTATCATTTTGAGGAGGAAGCTGATGTCTGCAGTGGAATTCATGATGGGTGAAAATGCCATGTAATTTTTAGCAGATAATTTTACTCTCTTGGTCATCCACCCATCCAGGCAGTAATATGAGTAGAGTTCTCGTTATGCTAAGGGAGAGCTGACATTCAAATTTCCCATGCATCGAGTGAACAATAGACTTCTATTGCGTGTACATGGCACTGCCATTGATCTGATTGATCTGGAGTTGCAGCAGAGGATATGGTCGGTGATGTGAACAGGAAAGGCACAGTTAGCTCTTTTCATGAACGTCTGTATTAGTCAGAACTGTCCTTGAAACAAAGTCCTAATAAGAAAATCAGTATTGACACAGATTACAGTTCATAATGATTATAATGTTAGAAAATCAATTTGTGCAATGGTGGTGGGGTTTTACAACTGTAGAAAAACATTAGTATATTTTCTTTAAAGATCTGGCTCTGTATCTGTATAGAATGACTTTTTATTTCCTTACCATTTATTTTCAAGTCTCATGTACATCATTATAGGCTAACAGAGGATTGAAAGAGAAAGAGTATTTGAGGCTTCACATCTCTATTCTAAAGAAAAGTGGGTTTAAATGGTGGAAGAGGTCTTTCAGTATTTCAGAAGAAATGTTTTTGCCAAGTTTGTGTGGTTGGCATCAAATCAGGAGTGTTAGGCATATCTCCTGCCTCTTGGAAAGATGATCTGAGCACAAGACTGTTGGCAGAGCAATGTGCTGCTTCATTAAAGAGAAACGTTGATTTGCTGGGGTTTTGTGCCTTGTCTGCAGCTTCTTGGGGGAATGGCCCAGCTTTCCCTGGAAAGGGTGGAAGAAATTCCTGGGTAGAACAGCTCAGTGCTTGGTGAGAGTGCTCGCTGGAGGGGTGAATGTGAAAAGGAAACTGAGATTGAACTGAGGGTCTGTGTGGGACTGTCTTGGTGGGACAGGGGATCCTGCCTGGCAGCTGTACAAAGCACCTGCATAAGCAAAAGCTCTCTTGCTTCCATTTTTTGCAAGTAAAATTATTACTTGTCTAAGAAGTATGGGGCTGTTTGGGGCAGCTCTGATTCTGGTACTTGGAATCTATTTGTGGATCTGAGTTCTACACTCTGGCAGAACTGCTGAAGATCATGGAAATAAAAAGAGTTTAGCTTCACTTTGAAAGCATTAAGGCATTATTTTGAACAGCAATAGGTTTGCTTCACAAAGGTAATTTTGTAGTAGAGGCAGTCTGAAAATATATTCCACATTTGGTGATATTGTGGTCTGGTTTCTTGAAATGAAAATTGCGAAGAAAATATTCCACTTCCTACAATGTCAGTACAGTCCAAGGACCAGTATTTATAATGAAATATATTTGTTGCAGTTTTAGAAGCCCTCATTTTGATATAATTAACTATCTTTTTTTTCAGTAAATAGGGTAATCATTCAATTTTCACCTTGATTTCCATATTTTTGTTTCCAGCAGAGTCAAAATGTCAGACAAAAGTGATTTAAAAGCAGAACTTGAGCGCAAAAAACAACGTTTGGCTCAGATAAGAGAAGAAAAGAAACGGAAGGAGGAAGAAAGGAAGAAAAAAGAGGTAAATTTGCAAAACCATCTTTTAGATGGCTTATGCTTGCACAAGGGGCTTGCTGAGGTGTTGACATCTCAGTATTGTATGCCCCAAGGTATCTGTCATGTGGAATGAGATACTCAAACCCACATCAGACTAACCTGAAAATCAAAAAGCTTATTTTTAGTCAAGAATATTGGGGTGAGGAAATTGCTTTTAAAACCACGGCACTGTCAAATGACAACAGTTTAGACAACATGATGTGCATGTGTATGGAGAAAGAAAAATTGATTTGCCACAATGCTTTTTCCTGGGCTCTCCTTCAATGGAAAGGGAGTGGAGAGTGGGGAAAGACAGAAAGAGGACTCACATTTTTTCAAGGCATTACAGTCTAAATATGTATTTTTGTACTCTGAAGACTAGTTTGATTACTAGCTAAGGTAACAGATTTACAATTATTATTCTCCAGTAAAGTAAAACATAATTGCAATTGCATTTTCATCTTCTGGCATGGGTGCATCTTTCAGTTCTGTTAAAGTTTGATTGACATATTAGTTTATTTGTCCTTGACAATATGCATTAGGTTTATCATTAAGGGATTTGTACTTCTTTTTATTCAGTCACTTAGTGGAATAGAGGTGAGAATTGACAGGGAGTGGATATTCATTTTCATGCAAAGTCAGAGAAGCATTAAGTGATTATGCTTCCTTTCCTTCAAATGTCAACACTTACTATAGTTTAAAGCACCTGTTATCCTTTACTAATAACTGGTTTCCTTTTAAACTGACACTTTAATATTGTACATGAATTTCATGGAATTACCGTGGAAATGTGACGTGATCCAAGAAGTCAGCATTCCAGTTTTGGCTGTCTTTTTAATCTTTTTTCATTTGAGCCACATTTGTGCAGTTAGAGCACACACCCAGTGGGGCTCCCGGACTCACTGGGGAAGTCCTCCACAAGCAGATCTTTAGATGGTTATGCTTTCAGTGTTCATTACTAAAGAACTAGAGGGAGAGGAGCCAAGCTAATGGCTGAAGGGAGCTGTTAGGTCCTTTCTCTTTGTCCCCTGACTCTGACTTTGTGCCTGGTGGAGAACTTGTGGTGGTTGAAACTTTCCATTGGCCCCGAGAGCCATGTCTGCAGATAATGCTGCCATGCATAATTGTGTAAATGGGCTGTGCTGTGGTGCCAGATGGGTCCAGTAGTGAAGGCTGACACTCACAAAGGTGCTTGGTCATTCTCACTGGTGCAGGAGAGCTGTCTACAGCCCTACATACTGTGAGATAGTTCATGGGAAGAGCTGAGCACAGGAGTGTGCCTGGGCCTTGACTATAAAATCACTGCTTCCTGGCTGTTTCTGAACTGGAGAACACGAACATTCTGAATTTCCAGGTTTTCTGTTGTGCCTGCACCAAGATCAACACCAGTCTGAGGAGCTGCACAAGTCCTCTTTTCCAACACCCTGGTTTCAGTAGAAAGGGCAACCTCGTTGTGGGATTCTGGCTAATGCAGGTGGTCCTACTGTTTTTAGATGCCCACAGATCAGAGTGGGAGAAGACTAATATATGGAAGCTCCAAGGATGTAGAGGTAGCTAAGCAGAGAGGGAAGGGACTTTTGGGCCTTTAGTGAGCCCAGGGCTGCCAAAGTCCTAGTTTAGAGATGTCAGTTCTTTCCTTTGCACCTTTTGGATATTGAAATTAATGAGCAAGTATTTATTTTCCCAACAAGTGCTTGGGACCAAATGTACTACCTTAAGCTACATCACTGAAATGCAACGAAATTTTTTTCTTGATTCTGAAGTAAGTAGGAAAGGGGCCAGTTCTTTTCAGGGTAATGATACTTGTTGTTCTATGGTCAGCTTTTATGTTAGTTGAATATGTTGCACCTCCTCAGTGAGAGGCAGAAAATTTCCATCACTGTCCAGTAAAAATTCTTGCAAATATCCTTGCAAAAACCAGTTTTACCATCCATTTAGGGAAAAATATTGTTGCTGATATATACAGTATAAATTATCTAAGTTATAAATTACCTAAAAGTATCAAAATTAATTTCAAATTGTCCCTAAGCAATAGTGCATACAAATATTTCCACACGTAGAATTGCTAGAGCTGATTATATATGAAATAAACTTTTCTGTTTACTTCTGGTTTAACTCAGGCTGATCTACAGCAGAAGAAGGAGCCAGCTCAGGAAGATTCTGACCTAGACCGTAAAAGAAGAGAGACAGAGGCGTTGTTACAGAGCATTGGTATATCCCCAGAACCACCTCTAGGTATTTAAGAGAAGCACACTGTAAAGCATTCAGCTCTGCCACAACTAATGCTTTCTTTCTACTAAAGCATGCTTGGCTTTTTTTTTATTTTTGGCTGTATTAGTGAAGTGAACTCTTCTGTTTGAATGCCTGCCATACCATTCACGTATACAAGCTCATGGCATTTTGAGTACTTGTCATTGCCAAAAACATCTGTTTCATTTCTTCAGGAATTTTTTATGAACATAATGCAGGTTGGTTTTGCATACCAGCAGTGATTTCTTTTCTGATGGACTGTTTTGTCTTCTCACTCAAAAATATAAGTGCTAACTTCCTTAGCCCCAAGTTTTGATTCAAAAATTCAAATTAAGCATTTGTAAGGAAGGCGGAGCATAGTTATGTGGGAACTCCCACTGTGTTTCTTTTAAAATTAAGAAAAACTGGAGAAGCAAAATTAAAAAAAAAAAAAAACAAAACAAAACAAATCACAAATAGAAAAACACTTGTGTTTTCACAAACAGTCACTATTGTACATTTTTGCTCTGGTTTCTTCTGCTTGACATCTTTTTTTTGTTTTGATATTTTAGTTATAGAACCTGAAGGCTTCAGTTTAAAATCACATACAGTATCTGAGCATGGATTACCTTGATTAAGATCTGCCTCATTTATGGAATGGTCGCAAAGTGAGAAATTTCCTTCCATTTCCCCTTCCCCTTCCCCTTCCCCTTCCTCTTCCCCCTCTCCCTCAAATTTGGGATCACTCGCTGTTTTAGCTGAAACCTTGGCCTTTCTGGAGCTATCAAGCCCTTTCATTAAGTTCATTGTGACTGAATCTAGAATTTTACCCCTGGTTATTTTTGCCAGGAATATATAGGAGAAACTTCAAATTTGACAAAATGTTGAAATTTTGGTTTAGGAAAGCAGCTTATACAGATGCCTGGGTGCATATGCAAGTAGGTAGTGACATTCTGAATTGGAATTTGAATTAATTACTTGCACCAACCAACATGTATTGAGAAAAGTTACTATTTTTATAACTTGTGATAGAGTGACTGAAGCTTTTAGACACCACTTCTCAGAAGAATTGTCTGACAAGTAATGGTTAGGTTATTTTTATGTGTAATAAAATATGTTTTTTAAATTATATCATGATACAAAAGTAAGGTCCAAGATAAAATCATATATCTTTTTAATGTATAGCATTAAAAGTACTCATTTTTATGTGAGAATGAGTATATATGTCCTTATCATTTTATTGACCAAACACATATATTCATGTTGCAAATTATCAGTTTTTATCTTAGTTAATTTTTTCTGTTTGATCCTGTCAAAAGAACTCATAAATTCACGTGTAAGATTATTTAGTTAAAAATAGTATTTTGTTCTCTTTTGTTCCACTTACATACACTCACAATTAATATAAAAAGGAGGATTTAATTCCACCTTCACATGATGCCAGGTCTCACTCTGAATATGGAATTTGTAAACAGCCAGACATACCTGTAACCTGCCAAAGGGCTGTCACGAAGATGAATTCACTTTTCACACTGCAGTCATTTCTGTGACAGTCACTAGGGAGAATCTGTATTAAATGCTTGACCATATGGAAAATCCAAATCTCTTGACAGGTCTGTCATTATACATTGTAAAGCATAACAAAGTATTTTAAAGTTTTACTCTGTTAAATCTATAAAAAGAAATGCACATGATTTAAACCAAATGGAAACTTTGCTTTTGCATTAAGCCCTCTTTTTATGTTTTATTCAATGTGGCTGCTTTAAAGAATACTTGCTTTAAATCTTGACTGGAGCTATCTCTTAATTTTTAATATTTTTGAGAAACCATTTTAAAAGAAATCAGGATATTTTTGCTCTTTTATTTATTATTTCTTTGTTGAAGAGCTTTAACTTGGGCTGACCTTGAGCTATGAACTTCCTTTCCTGTTTCAGGAAACAAAACTGCCTTTGCATGAAATATGCTTCAAAAACCCTGGCAAGACAAAGAGAAAATAATTTCAAGAGCTTGGGCAAATAGTGTCTAAACCAAGTGAACTTTCCTTGAATGTTGAAATCATGTCCCACCCAAAATCGAAATTTTTTTGTGACCTGCATTACTTAAGAAAACAATCACCAAGTGAACTGTGAATTCTCAGCATCTTTGGGAAATGATTTTAACTTAGCTGATTTCCTTATTTAGCTTTTATTTTTGATGTCATTTCCACACTGCAGCCTTAGAGCATATCTAATGGACACTGGCTTTTGATTTAAATTCAGAGTTTGAAAAGTATGCTTGTTGCCTATGTGACTTTACCAGAAGAGTTCACTTAGATTTTTGACAAGACAAGCCCCTGATACTTCTTCATACCTTTAAAATCTTTTGCAAAGCAACTTCAAACCAGACTCAAGAAAACAAGTACTATTTTATTTCCACAGGTATCTTCTCCATTGATTAGCTGTAGATTTCCATTGGGCTTTCAGTCCTGTCTAGATACATGTCAGTTTTAACACTTCTAGAAGACTTAAAATTCACTTGACTCTCTTCCTTTTCTTTTTCTTTCCTTCCTTATTTGCTTTCACCATTTCAAACTCTCCTACTCATTCATCCACTATCATTTTGGTCCATTGGTTTTGATTTGTCTGACACTGCTCTTCATCAGTGCAGTCGCTGCATGTGTTAACATGGGATACCTGTTATTTTCATTATTTAGTCCCAACCCCTATGTCTCCCTCTTCGAAATCAGTGAGCACACCCAGTGACGCAGGCAGCCAGGACTCAGGGGATCTGGGACCCATAGGAAGGTAAGACACAGAGTTAACAGACTTGAATAAATGTGAGGGTTTTTTTTCACTTTGCTCTTACTTCCCATGTTATTCTTTTCCTCTGTAAATAAGAACATGCTGTATTGAATGTGTACTTTCATTTCTGCATTGTCTACTGGGTGCTGCCGTCCAGTAAGAGTGGTCTTAGATGTGAGGCAAATAAATGCATGCAACAAATGGATCTTAAACTCTGAGCCCCAAACCTTACAGTGGAAGCAAGAGCTGAATTTACACTTCTGAAATGGCCTACAGAAAGCTCTCATGATGTTTGGAAGTACACTAGACAAAAGGGAGATGTGCCCAGTGGTAGAACCTGTTATTCGTGCTGAGTTCTCTCTGTTCAGATAACCAGTCCCCTTGGAATTCCTTCTCATGTAACACCAGGTTGCCTCTGGTTGCTGTGACTGCTCATTGCAGTGTGTGCCACTGACAGTGGCAGAGAAGAGCTTGGACAGGAACAGGCTGAAACATCCCAGGACCCACTGGCAATTCTGCCTTGGAAATTTTGGGTGTGGAGAGTTTCATGCACAATGGAAGGGAAGCAGCTCTGTTCTTGTTGGAAACTGGAATGTGTGTGAGGGATGGAAACGAGAGTAATCCTATTTTTGTTTCCATGGGGGAAATAAAAAATGAAGTGGCAATCCCAAAATAATTCCTTCTCTGGAAAAGAAAGAATGTGAGGATGCTGCTGATAAAGAAGGGTTTGTTCAAGTAAGAAGAGGTGCAAGCAGCTATACTGTATGTTTTGGGAAATGTAAAAGACAGATCCTAATAGCTCCTTTTGTATCACACTAATTCAAATAGGGCTGAGCTGCCAGCTCATCCAAGTCTGTGAGCCAAGACTTTGCTAATGGCTTGAAAGCACAGCGATTGCTTTCTGTAGTTAACAGTGCTCAGTAGACATCCTATCATTCCTCTCCAGACATAGACTGTAATGTGACAGAGCTTCAGGACACCAGATTTCATGCCACGCCAGCCTTCTGTTTAGTGAAATCACACTTCTGTAGCAGAGAGTATGTTGTGTCCCCTTCAGCCAGATGCAGACACCCTCCCCTGTGTACAGATGCTGTGTAGCTGCTATTAAATCAGCTCAGCCCTGCTCCCGGATCTACTCTCTAGAAGAAGTGGAGGTTGCTAAGTGAAAAGTCCTAGCCTGTGAGATGTAGCAGTTTAAAACACAGAAAACAGTGTAGTTCTGCCTTCATAAGTAAATGCAGTAGATTTCAGCAAGTCAAAGTACTTTGAGTAGAACAAAAATCCTTTTTAAGCGAAGTATAGCCTGCTGTTCAGGACGAAGCTATTTACCACAGTCCTGTGTGAAGCTCTGACAAAACTGGGTGGAAACTTCTAAATTCCTGCTTTTCCTCTGAGCCTTAATGGTGTAGCTTTTTTACCATTAAGGTAAAAAAAGGCTCTTGAAGAATTTATTTGGCTGTTACCCGTGCTAGCACTTTGGCTCTCTGTCAGCAACGAGCAATGAAAGCACATGACCACGTGTCCTTTCAGAGGAGAATGGAGTTTGTCCCCTTCTTCTGAGCTCATGACGTTCTGCATTGTGGGCTTTCACTTTGGATCCATTTTCCGGCTTCTTGTGGCCATACTAGGAATTCAGTGGGAATCCTGAGACCTTGCTTGTAGTCTCCCAGTTTTTTGGCACATTCTCAGGTATTGAAAGGGCTATATGCCAGGAAGGCTGCTTGCAGATCTTTGCCTGGAGCGATTGGTCTGTGGTAATGGAAATATGTCTGCTCCAGACCCTGGGGAATGTCTGTAGTGTCTCTGGGTGCAGGTAGATGTGCTCAGGGATTGTGTGGACAGGTGCACTCAAGCCTGCATGTATGATGGAGTGGTCAGGCTTAGTGAGGAAGATGTGTAGAACTATCATCACAGTGGGTAAACAGGATGAAACCACCTCAGCTGTTTTCTGTGAGAGGTGCCCAGAACATGCATCTAACTTACTTTGACTATTGTGTGTATTACTGCCTGTGTATCTGTATAAACAAGGTTATCCTGCTTCATTTTAATTTATTTTTCCATTTCACTTTCTGTGATAGAGGAGGCACTTCTGCTGGATCCCCTGCCATGCCATCATGCTTGTTAGATCTTTCCTTTTTCTGTACTAGGCTGAGCTCAGGCTTTAGAGGAGAGCAGATTAGTTTCAAATCTGCTAAATGAATCTAAAACCCAATCTCAGCGATCACAGCTTGTCCGATGTTGCTGCTGCAGGAATGACGAGCTCACACAGCCTGGCAGAAACCCTGCAGGCAGCCTGATTACTCATTGCTGAAGTGTTTCCTGGAGAAAGATGAAAAAAAAAAAAAAAAAAAAAGAAAAAAAGAAAAGAAACTGCGAAGTCACAGATTTTGGGTCCTTACAGGAGAGAGGCTCTGTTGAAAGCTTTGAGGAGATCTTCATATGTTCCCCTAAGAGGGACCAGATTCTGGTACAGAACGAGGTTGTGTTCGTACTTCTTTGAGTTGTTGGTACTTCTGGTAGTTTTCAGACTTAATCTGTTGGTCCCATTATCACCAAGTATATTTGAGATATGCTTTGATCAGCAAGCATATGTGATTTCTTACATAAAAGTGAATGTACTCTGTACATTCTGTAGTTCAGACAGAAACACAGGTTTATGACCTCTGCTTTTCAGGAAAGAAAATTTATAAACTGGAGAGTTTGAACACTCTTCAGTAGTTGTAGTCCTGAAACCACAGATCTCAGTCTTACTTTGCAAGATGAAAACTGACTGGTAACTTGCTCACCAAGTGTAATAGCTACCTAGGAGCAAACAGGCTCCTTCAGCTGAAAAGGTGAAAGCAGCAAAGTGTTTGGTATTGAAGTTGGAGAAATATAAAACAAACAAAAAAAAATCAATAGTGAGACAAATTCATTGCTAAAACAATTTACCTGAAGACTGTGGGATCTTCTATCACTGGTAGTTGCTTGTCCAGGATAATGTGTGTGGCAAACAGGCAGATAATAGGTCAAACAATAACTCATTCATAAAGTTGTACAGCCCTTTTGTTGCACAGGAAGAAAAGCTGCATGGTCACAGTAGTCACTTCTGCCATGCATCCTGCAGACTAGTAGTGCTGCTACCCTTCAGGGCCATTGTTCATTATCTCCAGCACAACAGCCAGAGCAGTGTTGTCTTTTCTCTGATGCCATTCACTGTATTAGGAGAAGAAGTGGGGTGGACTTTGTAATAGCACTGAATTGTGGAACCATTTCTGTCTTCTGCATCCCAGGTTTCTATGTTGTTTTTTTTTTTGTTTGTTTTGCTGCCTAATCTTTAGTACCATTTTGCTATTTGTCACTTGGGAAAACATTAGGTTTGAGCAGCATTCCAGCTTCCCTCTGAGCCATGACAACTGTAAGAATAAGCAGATGTTAGATGGATAACTGTTCTAGAAACTGCTGACTGAATGCTTTCAGTTGGGCAGGAGAGCCACATTTTATATCTGTTTTTGTGGTCTTGGGGATCATTTTTGGGTAGGCAGAGGTGTGTTACACTTTGATTCTGGTGCTGCTCTTAGTTACCAGGCTACACTGAGCAATTCACTGGAGCCCAGTTGTTGCTCAGAGAGCAATTTACTTGTCTCCACATTGCTTTACACATCGCACTTTGCTTTTTTTTTATGCCTGTGTTGCTTGTGCTATACAGATAGGATGGAAAAATTACATAGCCTGAGCGGATACCCATCTCTGAATAGATGGGTCATTGGTTCATGGAGCTTTCCTACATGATGTATTCAGACATGACTAATTTTTCATAAGACAATATTGCAGGATTGCATTCTCCTTGGAATAGAATATGTTTGGCTCTTTCAGGATAAGTGTTTTGGTTTGTTTAGTATTTTGTAAGCATTTTGATGATTCCCTGTGTCCTCTTGGTGATGGTCAGCTTATACATGTACAGACATGCAGAACTTCAATGGAGATTTGAATGCATGTGAAGAAAAGGGCTGAGGTAAAGGCATTTGCTGAGAGGTCCTATGCTGTAGCATAGTGTGAAACACAAATTTGCCTCTATTAATATAAAACTCCTTTGTAATAGCTGTATGCATCTCCCTGATGGATACACTGAACTTTTGCTACCCTAGTGTGCTAGAGAGGATGCTAACTAATATAGTTGAGGCACCATGAAACATGCCCATGGAGAGGTATGTATATACCTTAGGCATGCTGAGTAGCAGAACATCTCATCTTTGCAGCACTCACAGCCATGAATTTTGGGTTTGTGTTGTCTGGGGAAGTGCACAAGGACAATCCTTGCACAGTGCCTCAGAGGCAGGCGGTGCAGTATAAGGTTTTGTGGGCTGAGCAGCTCCCTGGAAAGACCTCGTATCCTGGCTCAGGTAGGGTCCATCTGCACTTTGCATGTCAGCCCAACATAAGATAGCAGAAATAGCTCTGTGCTGGGAGGAGGTGCTGCTGTGGCTGGGTGTTTTTCAGGGCTCACACCAGCCTGCAGTGGTGTCTATGTTTATGTGTATGTGTATGTGTTACCTACACGGGCTCCTGTGTTCACCTGGCATGTGGCATGCTGGGAGGAGCTCCATGTGGGGACCAAGGTGTGGTTTATCTCTCTGGAGATAAACCCGTTTTGCCCTGTATCCTTCAGTGCTTCTATGTGTTCCTAGCTGGGAAGATGTAGGATGTTCCCAGCTGGCTTCACTATCCTACAGTAGTAGGTTTGCGCAGTAGCATCTCATTTATTGCGAATTGTTTGTGTGTGTGTGTGTGTGTGTGTGTGTGTGTGTGTGTGTTTGTCTAGTGGAGTCCCATGCGTGCAGCACTTCCTGCTGTGCATTGGGGAACATGAGAATCCCATTAGACAGGTGTAAGGTTTCCTGCCTTCCATCTGCTCGGTGAACTGCACCAGGCTCAGCTGTCTTGGATGTGTAAAGGTTAATGGTTGTCCTTCTTTCTGCAAGAATTTTCTCTGTGCTCTTTTGCTTTCTAACTTTTGCTGTACA